CACAATTATGATGATACGGTTTATCATCTAGATGGTAACTTTTATCATCGGAGATAGTTAAAATCATCATGATTGCAATCATAAAAAAAAAAAAAAAGGAAGTATAAAAAACTAAACTTTTTCGATTTTAGAGTCAGAATATAATAACATTCTAATGTTTGACATAAGAGTGAGTATTGAAAAAAGTATATCTATATTATTAAAAGAATAACAAAAATTTTGTCTCCAGGATAGTCATATGATAAAATCGGTTTTTTTTTTGTAAAGTTTAGTGTCATTGCAAAAGTCTTGACTTGAATTTCCGCCTTTTCAAGGTTTCACATCATTCTCATCGATAGTCATTTTATCGTGATAAATATTTAGGCTGCATTCGAAAATGCTCCATTTCTAGACATATAATTAAGAAATGACCTTTTATCTTGTTAACTATTGACATTTTTAAAGATATAAGCTCATCCCAAAACTACACCGAGACCTTTCATTTGAGTACCCACATCAATTTTTCATATATTTTATTTATATTAGGGTGTTTCAAAAAAATCAACTTTTGTTATTTCTTCAAATGGTCAGCAAATTCTCTCAGAGAATCCCAAAATAAGGACCTCGTCTGAGTATGAGTTCTTAATTTGAAGATTTACAGGTCGCGGATCGTAATTTTCTGTTTCCATTTAAATAACATAGGAAAAAAAGGCATTAACTTTGGAATTTTGTATCTTCAGATTGAATCAATTTATGGCAATGATCATCTCGGATTCTTATACAAAATTGTACGCCTTACAAAAAAGGTCTCTTGTCATTTTTCCATATATTGATTCCTCCCCGAGTTATTCGAAGTCAAGATTTAATTTTCATCGAATTTTTGGTTTTTTTTTTTTAACTTTCATCGTACAATTATAAAGGCACTCAAAAAAGAAAAGTTGTCTGTACATTGGACCAGACTCACCAACCGACATGTTTACCGACCCGCTAAATCCGAATTTGAAGTCCGCTTGGCCCGGTCACCTTCCAGTTTTGAGTAAAATGAAAAAAACCTAAAATAAGGCAAAAAATTGCGAAAAACTGCAGTCACAGCGATGAAAAAATTTTTGTGGACCCGGATTAAGTTTGATTTTTATGTATTTCAATTAACTGAGTCTGAATCTGAACTTTAACTAGCTCGTTGAGCTGTCAAAATTTGAAAAAATAGCGAAAAACCCAAAATAATTGCAATAATAATAAATGATGAAAAATCTAAATTATCGAGATGAAAAAAATTTTTTGGATTCAGATTGAGTATGACTTCTATTTATTTTGTTCCACTGAATTGAAATCTGAAATCTTGTCCCATTAACGTTTTACAATTAAAAAAATCTCAAAAAACCAAAAAAATTGGGAAAATT